CCTGTCTGATCATCAGTTCCCAAGTCTCTCTATAAAAGGAGTTGATAATAATACCTACTGGGCAAGGGTGTTAGGAAGGTAAGCTCCTGAAGGGCATTGTAACTCCTGGACAATGGTTAATTATTACTCACAAAAAGGGAAGTCAATGCCATAAAGCAAAATCCAAGAACTGCCTTTTGTTGTCTAAGAATTTTTGTTGTCCTAAATTTGTGTTGTGGGTATATAGCCTTAAAAATCTTTTGTGATGGCTATTTCAATCCTTCCTATTTGTTGTAATGGAACATAGTTTTTGAAGAATGAACATGCCAAAGTCATTTGGGAGAATGATGGTAAGGGAGGAGTGCTTTATTTAGTAGCAGAGGGTCTGGTAAGCATCCTCCCTGCTAAGATTATACGGAGCATAAAGGAAGTCACAGACTGCTCATTTCCCTTGTACTCCTCGTAATCTTGTGGAAACTTCCTGTAAAAGGCAGTTATAGCATTAAAAGTAAACTGATTTCACACTCACCGGATACTAGCAGACCAACAATTGCAGTCCTTAGGGAGAAAAAGAAAATAGCATACTTATCCTTTATACTTTGTATTAGTTTGGAAGAACATGGAAACTCTAGTGATGGAGAAACAGACTCATGCCAGAGGCAAGGAAACTATTTAGAAACATGGTTACCATTTAGTAATTCTACTGAGAGGCAGAGCTTATTAGCCATGAGACTGGTTACACTTAAAAAAAGAAAAGAAAAATTCATTATGCGAACATTAGTATAGCATGAAAATACAGTCCTTTGATAAATAGTTTTCAAATACAAAATTTTAATAACATCTGCTAAGAAATAATGCTAAGGGGAATTTTAGAAATAGAAATGTTCACTTGTATTTTATTAAGAACTTCAATATTGGCATGGTTGTCTCCTATTTAGTGTCCCAAGTGTACAAACATCTGCTGACAGCTAATAGTCCAAGGAACAGGGTGTATGACATGCTGAACTCTAATAGTATTCTAGTTGCAAGAGGAAGCCATAGGGAACTCCTGGTTCTACCAGAGTGTCAGGCAAACAGCTTTATTTGTACACATAGAAAAAGATTTGGCATAATATTATACGAAAAGCTCTATTATTTAAAACCACTGCTGAAATGCAGCCTGTCTTCAAGTCACTTAAAATTGAACTGGGGAAACAAGCATAAACTAATAAAATGTTAATTAGCAGTGTGTGTGTGTAAGTATAAACAACAAAGATAAGAGAATCTGATGTTTCTCTTTTTTTTTTTTTTTTTGAGATGGGGGTCTCAGGGGTCTCATATTTCCCAGGCTGGTCCAAACTCTTAGGTTTAAGGGATCCTCCTGCCTCAGCCTTGGCCTCCCAAGTGCTGGGACCATAGGCACATACCACTATGCCTAATGCTGAATGATAGATTCTGAGTTCAAAAGAAAGATGGTAACTATGGAGTGAGCAGCCTGGGAAGAGAAATTCTTGCATTGCAGAGCCACATGCCATCTACCAGTATCACAGTAAGCACAGTGAGGACAGTACATTTTGCTATCCTTGTGAATCCTTGGATTGATACCTATCTGGAATCTAGAGTCCATGTAGGCCTTCTTAACTTTGTTGATATCCTGGCAATTACTTGACAGTCAAGATGTTCTTCCTTTCTCTTTGATCCATGGGTTGCTATTGATCAGCACCTCTAACAAGGGGCTGTGGCTAATTCTTATATCTGAGTACAATACTACAGAGAGCCACTGTGAGAACCAGCTACTGTTGATGAGGCTTCTCCCATGGCCTCACCTGAGAAACTACAATCAAGCAAATATATGTGTTCCCTTCCTTGCTGAAGCCTGATATGACCATAGAGTCCCTCTTGACAAGTATCAACTGAATGGAGTTGGAACTTAAGGTGAAATTATATTCTATATTTAGCTTCTCATAAAGTTATTCATGTCTGGCTGGATCCACCTTTCTTAGCAGAACTATCTCTCTGTCTTCAAATAGTATCTACATAAGCCTATGATATACCCTGGACTACCCCTTTTTTGTGTTTGACTACAATGGAGGCTTTAATTAGGGATGTGCTGGGAGACAGGATGACAAAAAGAGTTGAAAAAAAAAAGGGGGGGGGGAGACTATGAAGGACTTAAAAAGGGTCAGGTACCTGGCATATTTCTGAAAAAGATGTTGTTGGTCCCAGTATAGACCTACAGATTTCAATCTGTGGGCTGGAGCCTAGAAAATCTGCATTTTAAAGAAATGCTCACAGTGTATTTTTTTAAAAAAAAGCTGATCATGAGAAAATTTTGATTATATAAAATGATAAAGAGAATATGTTTCTCATTAATCTATAGTTAATCTTATTTCTTTATATCCCTACCCACATTTCTCCCTTTTCACTACACTGAATGATTCTGAAGCAAATCAGATATAATTTTATCTGTGAATATTTGAATATTTATCTTTGAAAGATAAGGACTTAAAAAACATAATCATGAAGCAAACCTTGAAAAATTTTTTATCTCATCAAATTTTCAGATAATGTTCAAAGTCCCCCAGTTGTATCAAATTTTAAAATATTTTTTCGAATCAGAATCTAAATAAAGTCTCACATATTGCCTTTGATTGCCAGGCACTGGGACAGATCGGTTGTGATACACCTTGAATTTAGGGCAGCTGCTGACTGAACATCAGCTAGAAGATCCCTAGGCTCTGAGCCTCATTGTAGGATCTTTCTGATTGATCGAAGACTTATACAATTACCAGACCATGGAAATTTTTTAAAAAGTTGGTAAGATCGTCAACAATTGGAATGACAAATGTGTTGTTAAAAAGGGCACAAAAGTGTCCCAAGAATGGCATGGAGACCACCAAAGGCAGTGAATGGTTTGGTTATTGTGTCTTGGCCATAGGGGTTCAGTACAATCTAAAAAGGGCCAATTCGAGCTGTCAATCACATCTTGACTCTTTAAGTAAGTCATGTGTTTAAAAGTGGCCTACACTGCCTGGTACATGACAACAAAGATGGTTTTCATATCATCTCCTAAAACTGGTATGGATGATTTCCCTGATGTGCCAGAACTTTAAACAGATGTACATCTTCAAAAGTGAAAATTGCTTTTGCAAATGACCAACTTTCTTTACACTTATCCATTACTGTGATAGTTATCTTATCAATAGCTTCTAAAGACCTCATATGTCTAGCAAGGGGAATACACAAAAGATGAACAGTGAATTATTTGTTGAATGAACACTAATAGTGAATCATTTACATTTAGGACTTTCAGAGCAATTGCCATCATTTTGCCATGGAGCTTATCATCTCTGTTTTACAAAATAATCATAATAGCTAGGATTTCTTGAGTTCAATGAACTCAATCTTTTCTAAGTGTTTTGTGTGTTTCTACTATCTTATTAGAAATCAGTACCTTAGCTTTATGAGTTAGGTACTACTATCTCCATTATACACAGGCAAAGAGTTAAGCAACTTGCCTAAAAACAGTGATTATAAGTGTTAGGAATTGATTCAAACCTGAGTGCCCAAAGTGTTTAATGGGTTTTGGAAGAAGAGGCCCAACACTCCCAATTACATGTTCTTCGCAAGGACAAGTTATAAAAGGCGGGTCTTCCTATCATCTTTCCCCATCACTAACGTTGTCCTTCCTTGATGAAGAAGGAAGTTAGTTAAATAAAAAACCCTCAGAAACCAATAGGATGATTTTGGGGCATACTGACTGCTTTCAGTTCTTCCGTTCATTCTTCAAACATTTACTAAGTGCTACCATGTGCAAAACACTATTAATAGGTTAGTATGCACGCTCATCCAGAGAACAATCCTGAAGCTTCCAGAGACAGAGGAGAAGTGTTGGTTTGTTTGGGAGGTTTTCTCACTTTCTTCTTCCTCAGGAATTATTCTACTCCTCAAACTGGCTGGAGCGGCAAGTCTCATTCTCAGGCCACAGAAACCTGAGAGTGAAGTGAAAAGCATTGCGCACAGAGCTAGGCTGACGCCTGGAGTGATGCGTCAGGAACTTGGGAGTGTTTGGGATTCGGTCCTCCAGGCTGCAGCATGTATAGGCTGGCTTTCTAGGTAGAGAAAAGATAATAGAATGTGCAGAATTAGGAGCTCCGAGTCCTCAGTAGGACAGACACTAGGCTCCAGCTCACAATTCCAGGAGGTTTCTTTGCAAAAACCTTTTCGAAATAAATGCATACATTGTCCTCTGACAATGCAAACGTGACAGCTGCCTATCCAATAAGCGTTCCACCTCCTTTCAGAGCAGTTGGTGCTACAGAGGCATCTCCTGCGCTACAGTTATGCAACCTCACTCGCAGCGGGAGTTATTTCCTGTGCTTCTGGATGCACCAGATTCATGTAACACGCCTACCCTGGGTTTCAATGGAAGTCATTCTCCATTAACAACCACTCTGGCTTTCGGAGATGAATGCCCTGAACGGCATATCTCTTGCGCAGTAAGAATCAGGCAGCGAGCTATTAAAACACCCTCCCTCTCCCCACCCCCCTCTCTTTCTCTCTCTCCTTGTGCATGAAGCTAGGGGACTGCAGCAATGCAACCTTAGGCACAGCAGGAGGAGCTGTCTTTGCAGTCCCAGCCCGTAACCCCCACTAACGATGAACTCAAGCCAGTTCCATTCTTCGTTCTGCAAGACACACACACACCACAAACAGCAAAACAGAGCACCATCCAGATTTGCTCCTTGAGCACACTGTCTTTGTAGCTAATTTGTTCAAGCAACCCAGATATTCCAAGCAGAGTAACGAGGGGTAACGCACCGCAACAATGCAACCTCCCAAGCAGCTCCCCTAGCAGCTCACACCCCCGCCCCCTTTCGCAGCGTGCCAAGAGTTTGGAGCGCGCGCACGCACACCAAGCGCGGTGCAGTGACATATCCCTCCGCCTCCCTCCCCCTTTCCCCGCTCAAGTGGCTCGACAACGATTTGGGAAATGAAGGGAGGAGGGAACTACTTTCCTGAAACTTGCTATGCTGCACACGACTTCGAGTTGCAGTGATTCGTCCGGGGGCTGCAGTTTTTAGTCCTCCCACCCACTGCCCGCCACGGCCGGGGCACCCCCCGCTTGGCAGCCCCACCCTGCGTCCGCTCTGGCCCCCGGGGGAAGCAGGCGGCCGAGAGAAGTCGCGAGGGACTACTTCTCCTCCTTCTCCCGCGGGCGCCCCCGGTTCGGGCAGCGGCGGCGGCGGAAGGAGCGGGCGGCGTGAGCGCTTCCGCGGCCCCCCTCGCAGCTCCCCTCTGGCGGGCGAGAGGAGCTGGCCCGCGGAGCTGTTGGTGGGCACCGGTTGGTGGGGACCTGCGGCCGCTCTCCTCTGCCGCGGCTTCTCGGGACCCTGTATCTACGAGCTCGCCCGCTCTTCTCCGGCTCGGGTGGGAGCAACCAGCTCGTCTGCCCCTCGCCTCTCACGCTCCTCGCCGCCCCTGCCTCCCCCTTCAGGAGGAGTCCCGGCTGGAGCGTGTCTGGAGGAATCCGCCGCCGCGGGCCCCCTTGTCCTGTTCCGCTCGTGTCTGAGGGCCGACCCCGGCGCCGCCGGTGGCTGAGCGGGCAGCCGGCGGCGGGGCGGGAGATGGTGGGGTGGGCTCCGGCAGGACCGTGCCGCCGCCGCCCGGAGCCTGGGCTTGGCACCCCCCCACCGGCCCCCACCGAGCGGAGCTCTGCTTCCTCCTCGCCGCATCCCTGAGGGAAGCGCCGCCTCTGCTCCCGGCTTCTCCGCCCGCCCGCTTCTTCCTGGCCGGACCGACCCCGCGGCGCTCCACCCCAGTGGCTGGAGGAGCAGCTCTCCAGCCAGCCTTTGCAGCCCCTCTTCCATTTTCCCTTTTCCACCCGGCCTCTCTGGATCTCCCTGGCCGGGCGCTGAGGCGAGGGAAGAGGCTGGGGTCACCACGGCAAAGATTCCTGCTGCCACCCCCCTGCGGGGGTGGCCGGGGTTCCCGGCTGGGGGGGCACCGTTCTGGGTGAGGCATCCACCATGGTGAGGCCCCTGAGCCGCTGCCCCCGCGCCCCCCCGGCCGCCGCTGCCTGCTGCCCCTCGGTGCTGCTGCTACTACCCCGCCTGCTGTTGCTCCTCCATCTCCGGATCGGATCACGGTGAGGGAAAGATGAGCGAGGAGACGGCGACTTCTGACAACGAGTAAGCGCCTCATTGATCTTGATTGCTAACTCCCCTCCCCCAGTTCTCCCTCGGCACTTCCCCAGACTTGGTGGAGACTTGGGTGCCGGAAAACTGGCAACCCTGGAGAGTTGGTGCATCTTGTGTTGGAGATAACCTATTTTGGGGGCCATTTTATTTAATGGCAGCAACCCCCTCCATCTCTTAGATTTAGTTGCTCTCTGCCTGGGAAGGGTATTAAGTGAAGAAGTGGGATGGCAATTGTTGATGGAGAACTGTGGATGGATAGAAGTGGAATAGAAATTGCCCCTCTGCCTCGAAGACCCCAGCCTTGTCCTTCTTTGCTCTGTCATGCCAGGCAACATACCTTAGATATCCATCCTTCTTCCTTTATAGCTATTTCACTTGGAAACTAATGTGTGGGAGCACCTCCTGCAGCAAACTGCTTTTGAATCTTAATTCGATGAGTCAGTGACTCTTAAATACCGATTAAGCCTTTGTCTTCCCCCTTCGTCTGTCCTTTTAAACTTATGACCTGTAAGATTCTTGTAAAAAATAGGGTTAGGGAAACATTTTTGAAATTTAATAGGATTAAGGACACCTGGAGTGTGGGAGATGTTGACCTATTGTGTTTACCTTTGTAAATATTGGATGTGTCTTCTCGTAAAGAACTCAGAATTAAGAATTTTGAGTGCTGGTTTCTACTTTTCCGGCTATATTAAGACACATCAATTACGTTGATTTAACAGAATCTCATAATGCTTGAACATTTTGGTGACTTCATCAACTTCTAGAGTATTCCAGTTTTAAGTTTTTGCTTATTTGGGCTGCCTTTATGTTTTCCAAACGAAATAGTTTGCCTGTTAAATATTTTGTTTCATCGTAGGAGCTGCCTGGGGGAATAATGCTGTGGTGGTAATAGTTTCCTACGGAGAAAGGGTTTAATTCTGTGCAGAATATTAGTATCCGTTTTCTTGTAGTTGAGTTTTTGTTTATCTTTGGAGGGTTAGAAAGAGTTAAGTGAGTTAGGACTAGTTCTTAGGATGCGTTCCTTTAAACAAAGTGCATTCCTCTAGTCAGACCTTTTGAGGAAACTTTAAAGTCCGGTGCCGAGGCCAGTTTGACATGAAATAACTACAAAAATGACAAGCAGTATTCCCCCTCCTTAAAAAAAAAAAAACAAAAAAACAAAAAAACAAAACCACCCTTCTGATGAGCGGGTGTAGAAGGAGGTAATTGCTGCAGTGTCAGCGCAGTCTGGAAGCAGAAGTGGCCGCCATGTTCTCTCTCTTTTTGTGAATCGCCCTCATTTGCATAACACACTCTTCATTCATAAAAAAATAATTAAACATCCATCACCTTGGACACCTTGTAAGAATTTCCCAAGAAAAAATTCGAAGCTTCTTTGTCTATATGTATATTTTTGATTTCAGGAGGTAAGGAGAACTTGAAGTTTTCGATTAAATTTAGAAACATAACGCACACACAAACAACTACCCCAGTTCTCAGAATGTTGACACAGTTATGTGGGAAATATCAGTTCTGGGAGGTGCTGGGATCACGTGATTGCCTCCATTCATAAAATACCTGGCTGTCCATTCACAGTGCAGAACAGTGTCTCACTGCCTTCCGCAGATTAGACCTACTTTGAGGGAGATCAAGAAGTCTGTCTTAGTGCTTAGTTAGGAGAAAAACTGCTGAAAAGCTGTACGGAATAACGGTAACTTTTGGTATTTTTTAAGTGAGTAGCTGGGATCAAAATGTTAAGTTTCTATTTTAGAAATGGGAAAAGACTTCCTATCAATTTTTGTTTTAAAGTGTTGAATATCTCCTTGTGGCTGCAGCTGATAGAAAAACAAATGGTGGAATTTGAATTTGACACACGTGTAAAATAGATTGTTTCTAAATGGGCCCTTTTAAAAAAAAAACATAAATACTTACCATCATTGATAGATAAACCGGGAGTACAAGTGTTTGTGTAAAGCACTGGATGATACATACCCCAGTTACAATAAAATGAGAAAATATTTTAAGAGGTTTATAATTATCAAGATGTTGATTTTTGGAAATACTGAACTTCATTGGTATGATTACTTTTTTCTTTTTAATTCTAAATGTGCTTAGTATGGGACCACTTGGAAATTACCTTACTCATCTAGACTCAACATTCAATTTTCTCAAATGTATCCTGCTTTATTATAAAGTATTCTCTACAAACTATATAATACTGTTAAATATTTATTTGGTATTAATATTTTGGTATGAGATGTTAACTCTTTATGGGGAAAAATCCTGGTTTCATTTTTAAAAACTATAATAGAAAGTGATGTTCATCTGGTAATAAATTATGCTTGAGCTGACATTGTTTGCTTGTGCATTAGCTAAACCACAAAGAGTGAACTTCTTTGGAATGTAGCTTTTAATCTGATAATTTATGTCTCACTATCTTTAATATATGAAGTAATGTTTTCATGAAAATTTATTATTTATAATCACAATATGAAGAAATAAAAGAGATATTACGGCACAAGCTCTTAATGTCTTAGCATAGTTTAAAACTGTACTGTAATAAGGATTTTATTTGGGCTTTTTACTCATATTCTTTTTTAAAGCCACAGTTCATAGGGATTTAATTACATCAAAGAGTGTTCTTAACCCTAGTCATTTTTTTTTTTTTAAACCTGATTTCAACAGTATATTTTTGAGGGACACAATTCACTTTAAAAGAAGTGAAAATCACCCATTTCTTGGGATATTAACTTTTTCTAGATAGCTTTTGTGTTAAAATTCAGTAAGGCCTCTAGAGGTCTTAATGTGAAGTCTTATTTGACTTTAGAGTTCTGTGTAGAGAAAAAGATAACTCCTAGAGGACGGTTGTGAATATGTGTTTAAGAATTAATGAAGAATCTGTTTAAGATTTTGTCTTAAACAGTAAACAAGCTAAATGAGGAAGAAAGGAATTTGAATAGCATAAAACATTTGTATCTCAATCTTTCAAATTTGGGTTTAAAATTCTTAACTTTTGAAAATAGGGTAAAATGCTTTCTGTTGTAAATAAATGAAGGGATTAGCTAAACATAATTTTTTTGTCTATAACCTTACAGAAATTATTAATATTCCAGACAAATGCTTCCATTAAAACCATGTGTGTGATTGAATAGAATTTAAGTAGAATTGTAAATATTTAAAGGCAAATTATGTGATACTAAAGGTCTTTGTCCTTTGCTGGTGAGTGAATATAATACTGCATATCCTCTGCCATTTTGGCAAAGTCTTGAAAAGTGAAATAGCTGAAATATTAAACATTTTACTTAGTATGCTCTCATTAGCGAGACATACTTACTATGTCAGTACTAGGTTTTCTAATGGCAAATTGGGATTATATAAGATTAAAACTAGGTTAACTAGAATTAGGTCACTTGTGATAAACTTGGTGTAATCTGGGTTAGAACCTTTTTATTTCATAAATAAAACACATTTTTATGATTATATTATTTGATGCCTTATTAAAAATGTACCTTGTGATGGATTATTCTGAAGATGTATGTGAAAAAATATATATATTCAAGATATATTCACCTACATATATCTTTATGTGTATATGTGCATGCATATATACATGTGTAATTGGAAAGCTCTCTAGATATGAACAGAAGCATTGGAGAGCTGTGTAATATTGTCAAGTAATGTTTATAAATATAGATGTAGTGTATACATAATATAAACGTTTGCTTAGGATGTTTGAGTTAAATGAGCTAAATGACTGCCTAATTGCGTCAGCTTTATTTCCTTCTGCTTTCTGACTTAAAACTTTATGACCTTGAATTGTATTTTTCTAAATACAGCATGCCAGCACACCTAAAATAATCTCTCCCCTGAAGAAATTTTCTCTTAACTTTTGGTATGAGATGTTAACTCAAATCAAAAGATTTTCTCATTTATGCTTTACTGCTCCTCCAACATTCCCTCCTTATGTATTGTCTTGTACCTAGTACATATTTATATTAGGGATTTTTTACAAATCACATAGTATGAAATAATTTGCTTATTTCTGTGTCCCCTTTTACATAATCCCTTGCTTTCATTTGTATGACTAGCACAATTCTTGGTGATAGATGCTTAATAAATAGGTTGAATTAATGTAGTCATACTACCTTGTATTTGTTTCTTGTGAATTTATGCATTTGAGAGCATTAGCTGTGTTAGAAAAATAGATTGAAAATTATGAGAAAAGTAAATCAATATATTATCCTATTCTTTTTATTTTAGGTCAAAATTTGCCTCATTTTTTATTTCAGTAAATTTGAGAAATAACTTAGTTCAGGCTTAAACCTATCCTAGGTGCTGTTGGAATATTTGAATGTACTTAGCCTCTGAGCTTTGTGATATATCTGAAGAACCACGTCATCAGCAAGGAGTGGTAGATGTTTGTCTTTTTTAACATAGAAAATTGAATATATCTCTGGCTTGGATCACTTTAAGTTCTTTAAATCTGATCTTCTCCCCCCAGCTCCTCCAAGGTGCCAATTATGAGAAAGTGACTAGGGATAAAGAATTGGAAATTGAACTGGAAAGGATAAAACATACAGATTTCTTAGTTTTATGGTGTACCTCTTGGTTTTTACATAAAAATGGAGAACTTTGTACTGCTTATTAAAAAAAATACATAACATGGTTGAGATGAATAAGTGAGCAGAAGGCTCTTGAACTTAAATGTCAACTTGAATAGCTCTATAAGGAATTACAGCGTACCGATCTTCATTCTTTAATGACCACAAAGTACCAAAAATAATACTTCTCACTTGGTCATTTATTCAAATTATATTGATCTAACACTAAGGAATAATTGTATGTTTATTTAGTTTAAGAAGTTAACATAGATAATGAGTTTTATTATTATTTAATATTTAGATTTAATTCTTCACTGTGACACGTGGTGTCAGGAGCTGCATCTCAGTCCAAAAACAAAGTCATTACAAGTCTGTGAGATTTAGTTTTTGTAACATGGAATGGAAAACTGG